CTTAGGAGGATTCAAAAGTTAGTGGCCAGTGGACATCTCGGTCCATTGGAAGAGCACTATCCAACTTGCGAATCATGCCTAGAAGGTAAGATGGCCAAGAGGCCGTTTACGGCAAAGGGGTATAGGAGCCAAGAAGTGCTAGGATTGATTCATTCTGATTTGTGTGGTCCTATGTCGATCCAGGCTAGAGGAGGTTTCGAGTACTATGTGTCTTTCATAGATGATTACTCGAGATTTGGGTACGTTTATCTGTTGCACCGCAAGTCCGAATGCTTTGAGAAATTCAAGGAGTATCGGGCAGTTGTGGAGAAGCTTCATGGTAAATGTATCAAGTCACTTCGTTCTGATCGAGGTGGCGAATACCTTTTTGGAGAGTTCAGGACATACTTATCGGAAGCTGGGATTGAATCCCAACTGACTGCACCCGGCACGCCCCAGCAGAACGGGGTTGCAGAGCGAAGAAATAGGACACTTATGGAGATGGTTAGATCTATGATGAGTTATTCGAGGTTACCAGATTCGTTTTGGGGAATGGCGCTGGAAACAGCATCGTACATTCTGAACTTGGTTCCATCGAAGTCAGTTGATACTACTCCTTACGAATTGTGGAAAGGGCGTAGGCCAGGCTTTTCACATATTCGGGTATGGGGTAGTCCTGCACACGTGTTAGTGCAGGAACCTGGCAAGTTGGAGAAACGTTCGGAAGCACGAGTTTTCGTAGGCTATCCCAAGGAAACGAAAGGTGGATTATTTTATAGTCCCGGGGATCAGAAGGTGATCGTTTCGACGAACGCTAGATTCTTGGAAGAAGACTATATTATGAATCATAAGCCCGCGAGTAGACTAGTCTTAGAGGAGTTAAGGGGTGAAAGCGATGGTTCCCCACCGAGTGCGCAAGTAGATACATCACATAATACTGCAACACGACACACTGAGAGTGTACCAGTGCAGACAGTGCCTCGTCGCAGTGGGAGGGTTTCTCATTTACCCGACCGATGGATAGGTCTTGGAGAGTCGTCAGACTCAGTTCCAGGAGGCCTAGAATCGGACCCAAGAACTTACGATGAGGCACTCCAAGATAAAGATGCAGATTCATGGAATGTTGCAATGAAAGCTGAAATGGGGTCAATGGACTCCAATCAGGTCTGGGATCTTGTAGAACTACCCGATGGGGTACGACCCATTGGATGTAAGTGGATCTATAAGAGAAAGAGAGGATTGGATGGGAAGGTGCAAACCTTTAAAGCTAGGCTTGTTGCGAAAGGTTATACCCAGATCGAGGGTATTGATTATGATGAGACCTTTTCGCCAGTAGCTATGCTTAAGTCCATTCGGATTCTCTTGGCTGTAGCCGCTCATATGGACTATGAGGTCTGGCAGATGGATGTCAAGACAGCTTTCCTTAATGGGAACCTGCAAGAAGACATCTATATGCAGCAACCAGAGGGATTCATTGCTGAAGGTCGTGAGCATCTAGTGTGTAAGCTTAATCGGTCTATTTATGGACTGAAGCAAGCTTCGAGATCTTGGAACATCCGTTTTGATGAGGTGATCCAGTCGTACGGGTTCACTCAATGTCCGGATGAGCATTGTGTTTACAAGAAAATCAGTGGGAGCGTGGTGGTGTTTCTTGTGCTTTACGTAGATGACATACTGCTTATTGGAAACAGTAAGAAGGAGTTATCAGACGTAAAGGTGTGGTTGTCTAAGCAGTTTGATATGAAGGACTTAGGTGAAGCAGGACACATTCTTGGTATTAGGCTCATTAGAGATCGTAAGAAGAGAATGTTGTGCTTATCCCAGTCTTCATACATAGATACTGTCTTGGCCAGATTTAGCATGCAGGATTCCAAGAAAGGTATGTTACCTTTTAGACATGGAATACCTTTATCTAAGGAGATGTCTCCTAAGACGTCTAAGGAGATAGAGGAGATGAAGACAGTTCCTTATGCTTCGGCAGTAGGAAGTCTCATGTATGCAATGCTATGCACAAGGCCGGATATTAGCTACGCCGTTGGCATGGTAGCTAGATATCAAAGTAATCCAGGACGGGAACATTGGTCTGCGGTGAAGCATATACTCAAGTACCTGAGAAGGACTAAGGAGTACATGTTAGTTTACCGTGCAGACAGCTTGTTACCTCTGGGTTACAGTGATTCTGATTTCCAGTCAGATAGGGATGAAAGTAAGTCAACCTCAGGTTATGTGTTTACCTTGGGAAGTGGAGCCATTTCATGGAGGAGTGCTAAGCAGAAATGCGTGGCAGACTCCACCATGGAAGCCGAGTACATAGCAGCCTCAGAGGCAGCGAAAGAGGCAGTTTGGCTCAGGAACTTCTTAGTGGACTTAGAGGTTATACCGAGTTTGCCACGTGGTATCACCGTGTACTGTGATAACAGTGGAGCAGTAGCGAACTCAAAAGAACCTCGAGCCCACAGGGCAAGCAAACACATAGAGCGCAAATACCATCTGATTCGGGATATCGTTGGTAGAGGAGACGTTGATGTTGCCAAGATTGCATCAGAGGATGCATGGCAATAGGATCGACATAGGTCTTTTAGAATAACGGATTGATAGGACTATACTGTAAAAGCGAAAGCTTTAAGTATAAGTGGGAGATTGTTAGTGTTATATACTGAAAGCTTGGCTTTGCATGTTATTACACATTTACCCTTTATGAATGAGAATCATGTTAGATTAAACAAGTTCTACGTTCTGTTGTTCTGCACTTAGATAGGGTGGGTCGTCATCGGGCGAACCGAAGATCACTCTATCAGTCACTTGCGAACAAGAATAGTTGTTCACAACCTAGATGGACATGAACACCCCATCCGAACGGTTGTAGTGTCAACTGTACAGTTTGTCTTGACTGATTAGTTGCACTAGTACATTTATGTATTGAACAGGATCCCAGAGAGGAGAAGTTCATTTTATACTGATCGTCGTAAATGAACTAGGCCTCGGTTAATTACTGCGTTCTCTTAACCCGTAAGATATTAAACAGGCAGATATATATAATATATATTACTTTGATTCACATGGGTGAGGTTCAGTTCGCTGGATTAATATTCCTACTGTTTTGGGTAATATTATTATATATAGGATGTGCTGTTAGGATATTTACGGTCACCATGTGCGTTAGTTTGATGATGTCCCCGGAGTGAGTTCATGAAGGATTGTTATGCTAAACCCTGCAGGTGGATTAAATTCCGGCATAATAAGAATGTGATGAACGAGCGCTAGCTTCGGTGAAATAATAATAAATTAATTAATTCTTGATTGTCAGTAATCGAATTAATTAATGGACATTATATCTTAAACGTGGGGAGGTAAATCGAGTAATTATTATTGGAGTCTCAAATGTAATTTGGGCTAGGGAAAGGGAGTGCAATAATATAATGTTGGTGGCCCATTAATATTATTTAATTAATTAGAGGAGTGGGTTTGGCCCACAGTTAGTCTAATTAATTAAGGAGCCCTTTTCCTAATCTCCTTAGGATCCCTACTGTAGCTCTATATATACATCATTAAGCTCATGAGAAGAGAACAGAAGTCTCATTCACACGAGATACACGCCTCACACGCCTCTCTCTCTCTAGATCTCATTCGAGCTTTATCTTCTTCTTGTTGCTCCACTGGTACAAGTTGAAGAAGAGTGTATTGAGTAATACAGTAGAAGATCTGTAGGTAAAACGAGACGAAATATATTTTGACCTACAGAACTAACCGGAAGTCCGATTGAGACGTACAGTATACCCAGACGACCGTCTCGACGAGAGCTTTCCATCGCCACCGACGTCGCCGAAATTCGACGCCGCACGCGCCCCCACGCGCCGCCGGAAGGTGCCAGGCAGCAAAATTTCGTTTTGATCTGTTTGCATCCGTTTGATCCAGTTTTGATCTGATCTTGTTCGCGCAACCCAAGACTTGATTTGCGGTCAATCAATTGCGGTCAACCGTTCGTGGTCAACCAGATCTACATAAATTTTAAGCCGTAAGTTCTCTACGTCAAACCTTTAGATCCGCTGCGCATAGGTTTACGTTTGCTATTGAATTCGTGATTTGTACATAACGAGATCCTCACAGATCCCAACAGTTAGTGATCTGATTATTGAGGGAAGAGGGGTGTGGGATAGAGAACTCATAAGGCAAACTTTTAATCCAAGTGAAGTAGATGCCATTCTCAAAATTCCTTTGTCACTGTTAGGCAGAAGGGACAGGTTCATTTGGCACCAAGGGAAAAATGGAGTGTTCTCGGTTAAATCTGTATATAACTTTATATGGCAGAATAATATGCAGAGAAGGTTAGGAGCTGAGTCCAGTGAGAATCAGTCTAATAGAAAGAAGCAATGGATGGAAAATTGGAGGTTACCTGTTAAAAATAAGATGAAACATTTCCTGTGGAAATGTAGGTATAAATTTCTTAGTTCAATGATCAGCTTATGAGAAGAACTTTTCTAAGTGATGGTATATACTGTATTTGTGGGGAAACGGAGGAAGACATGGATCACATACTCTTTAAATGCTTCAGAGCCAAGATAGTCTGGAAATTGAGTGGGGTTGAGTGGAATAATCTTGATAAACCAGATTTGACCTTTAATTCTTGGTGGGAGGATATATGCAGAGGTAGATGGTCTCCTAGCATCAAAGATAGGGTGAGCTTTTCCACCTATATTCGTTGGTGGTTATGGAAGACGAGGAATTCTTGGGTGTTTAGGAAAGAGATACTGAATGAAAAGCAAACTGCAGATGGATTTACGGCTGAATGGATGGAATTTGAAGCATCCCAGTGTGAGGTGAAGGATGGAGAGAACAAAAGGCTACAGAAAAACCAGAGTCAGGAGGAGGGTGATTTTCCTAGGGTAGGACAGTGGTCTATTGTTGTCAGTGCATACACATTATCCCCTATGATGATGGTTGCATCTGCTTCTGCGGCAAAGGAGGAGGAGACAGATAGAAGTTTCAGGGAGGAGCTGGAGTTTTCAGGTGATCAGAGAAGCATGTGGTTAGAGACAGTGAGGTGGGCATTGATCAAAGCTAAACAAGCAGGATGGAAGGAAGTGTGTTGCTGCTTGCCAAATAAAGAGCTGGTGGAATCTCTGAACATGAAAACTAAGGCTGCTCCTAGTGAAAATGTGGTTATGGCAGATATAGTTGCTTTACTCTGTTCCTTTTCAGTTGTGCTTTTTAAAAACTGTTCCTTGTTCTAGTGTTGTTCTTCTTTAGTTATGTGTAGGCTTCTCATATCCATTGTTGTAAGGGGTATCTGTTGATTGCCCCTGTGATTTGTTGCAGTCAATCGATTACTCGGTGTGAACATTATATTTGAGTGCTATAATAATAGTTATTTGTCGTTGGAAAAAAAAAAAAAAAGAAACCTCTTCGTCCTCCCTTACATCCACACCGAAAAAATTCGATCAACCCTTCGTCGCCGGCGAGCCACCCGCCGCAAGAGCAGCCCATTGCGAGCAAGCCGCCAACGGCGTTTTCCCCTGCAGCCGGCAAGTCCTTTGACCCTTGCGATCTGCCTATCGCAATATTCACCAGCGATTCACCATGGCAGCGCATCGGTGGTTTGTTCATCGCCACTCAAGAAAGTCGACTGTCGGCGACTCCAAACAGCAGGCCCGCCAACGTTCACACAATCGCGACGTGAGCGGATTTTCGAGAACCTGACTTCAGGCGACTGGGAGAGAAATTGTCCGACGACAGCGAAATCTGATGGGCCCGGCTATGAGGAGGCGAACCACGTCGTCCAGCCCTTCACGGCGATTCGCCATCCCGCGATTGGGACCAGACCCGACGACGAGAATCCCGGCGTTCGAGCTCTACCTCTAGTCGCTACGAGTCTCGACTCCCGACGCGTTTCACCACCGTCCGGTGACCATCATTCCGTCATGCTGAACTTCTGGCGGACTTGACAGCGACGAGCCGCGACCCTCAACTTTGGGGCTCTATTTGATACTTTCAGATTCTCATGCCCACGAGCTCCGACTGTTGAAGAACTCCAGTTTCCGACAGCGGCAGATCCGAACCCGACCCTCGAGCGGCTGAGACGAGCCGTCGATGACCAGAAATGGAACCCTTTTCAGACCTGACCGACCGAGCGACCGAGCAGAGCACCCCAACCTTCCTACAGAGACGAGAGCAGGCGAGAGTCGGCTGTAGGGGAGCCGAGCAGCAGCAACCGAGTCAAGAACCGACTAAACTGAGCCCTCTTTTCAGTAGGTATTATGGCTAACTCTTTTTACCCTCTAAATGGCTGAGATGTTGTGGTTTATTTGTGATTGATTCTCAGTTCAGAGGCATGTTAAATGTTGAGAAATTTTGGAGTTAGATGCTCGATGTTTTGTTTTTGAATAATGTGACATTTCGTGTGTTTGTTTTCCCTGGCCGTTTGTGATGTTGTTGCTGAAGCTTATGGTGCCTGTTGGCATGCTAAAAATGTACATTTTGAAGGCCTGCTAAATCATTGTGAAGTTTATTGGCCTATTTTTGCTCAGTAAGTAAGTAAAGCTTTTTCTTTTATTTATTTTTCTCTAGATTTAGAGGAATAGGAAGAAGAGAATGGAGGTGTGCGCATGAGTATCGTGTTGTAATCTTGCGACTTCATTTTGTATGATGAGATTATTATTATTATTATTTGTATTATTATTATTATTGTGAACTTATCTGCTCATTTTTTACTGAATTGTGTGCTTACCTGCAGTATGTGCTTTACATGTTGTAATTGTTAATGTTGCATTTTAAATCAAAACCCTAATAATAAGATAAAAATATTTAAATCATAGACTTCGAGGAGTCGAATATCGAGAGTTGTTCTGAGTGACGTCAGCTACTCTTCATCTGCACTTTTTCCTCACATCATCAGTTATCAGGTGGGTACATTTACGTTGTATCTATAATTATCGCACTCGTAATTTCGTATAAATGTTTGTCTCGATAGCTTTTGTATGCGTGAGAACCCTAGTCTAGGTGTCCCGTTGTTAGTGCCTTTGACGAATGCATAAACAGTGAGAGATCACCTGCTCGTTGTATCCGGGAGGAGGACGCCCCGGTCCGTGTGTTATTCGAAAGAGGAAAAACAACTCCACTGTCTCCTGGAAAGGATCCCTTAGCCGTTGTAGCCGGGGTGGGAAGGTTTCCAATTACATCCTTGCTGATGTTTGGTCGGAAGGTTTGTTGTATGTACATAGGAGGTTTGCGATAGGGCCAAGTAAGGAGTTAGACTTGGATTCTATGTATACATTATTTATGGTTTTAAATCTTTATGCGGGATATACTGTGCAATAATGGTGACATAATTGTTTGCTCACCCCCATTAATTTCCTCTTTGTCTCCTCTTCCTTTGTGTAGGTTGAACATGGCTGGCGGCGGCGGCGTGAAGACGATCGAGTGGTGGTCATTTGTCGATTGTGTTATCATTGTCTTATGCTTCCGCCTATTATGACTTTGTTGAATTAATGCTTTTGATTTGACTGTTTCCTGCTTCGGTTTGGATACACTGTTATTGAACTTTTGGAATTATGTTTAACATTCTAATTGGTTTCAGAACTTATGAGATAAATTGATTTAAATTTATATGGCTGTTTGTCTATGCATGTATAAGTTCCATCTATGTGTTAGTGTTTTGTTTAATTGTTCTTAGTAGATAAGTAGCGCCCGTTGAGAATTAAATTTTAATTTGAAATTTTGCGAAAAATTAACTCTGATTTTTATAAATAAATTCGGTAAATTCTTTAAAATAAAACGGGGCGTTACAATAAAGGTTGCAAGAGATCAAAAACAAATTAAGATCAAATCAAATCAAATATCTAATTACCAAAATAACTACTACCAAATCAAGATCATATCAAACTAAAGATATCTTACTGAAATAACTAAATTCTATCTTAACAACACTTTCAATTGTACACCTATAATAACCATTATCATATCATAATTTCCCATTTCTCACTTAAAAGTAATTTTTCTTTTTTTTTTTAGTTTTTTTTTTNCAGAAAACAATACAAAAAATAGTCAAAGTATGGTCATTGACCTTACAAGTGATGATGATAGTCTATTGATAGTTCGTTCTAATAATATAACCAAGCAAGCAGAAGGTAAAAAGATGTATATTGTTATCGTAATAATCTTATAACTACTTTATCCTTTTACACCATTTATATGCATTTTTTCATGTAGTATATAATATTTAATTTTTTTCATCTTTTTTTTTAAAAAATACTAATATGGTTTCAATTGATTCGCATGGTCGGGTGCTTGGGGAAACAACTGACAATCCATTTCCTTACACAAATACTTCAAGTCCGTTAAATTGATCTCACTAATGATGATTATGTAGCATCTACCATTTATAAAAGAAAGCATAGTCGATCTAAAAAGGTTACATGAAGCCCATCTACACAAATTGATCTGTTTCCATTTATACTTTTGGATTTATGACTCATATATTTTTGTTCTTGATTTTGAATTAATTATGTTTTAATGTAATGCAGGTTTTGATTCACGTTGTCAATCACTTCGAAAAAAAAAAGAGTAATGTTGTTTAGCCTATTTGGAAGACAACTTGGGTTACAACCCAAGTGTAAATGTATTATCAAAAAGTTAAAAAAATATTGCATCTACACTTGAGTTGTGATCTAAGTTGTCATTCAAGTTGTCTCTATAACATTACTAAATAAAAA